AGGGTGAGAAGCGAGCACACAGTCCAACTGATGGTAAGTGGTTGCTGTGGCCCGTAGATATCTACATCTATCCTAGTTTGTGAATAAAAATGCAGATGCGTTGTCAGCTGTGAGGACCAAGATGCTTCTTGTCCAGTAAAAAAGGTCTCCGGTTCTCTACACTCACCATAGGAAACACAGCAGCATTAAGCTACTATTTTACGCTGGTATTCTGTGAGAGTGTGATCCTTCCCCGGCCGGGTCGACCAGTTCTTGTTACAACTATAAAATTAATATAGCTGCAGCATGGCTCTACCACTTGTATAACAAAATAGATTTTCATGGAGTAATTTATTTGTAATAATTTTTTTTACAATTGATTCAAAATCATTTTTTTATAAATTTTTCTGAGAGTTTGTGGTATAAAAATAGGTCTAAAATTAGCAAGGTCCAATGTACTACAAGATATATATAAATGTATTACTTCACTATGTTTCATTAAATCAGGAAACACACCAGATTCGATACTATTATTAAAAATAAGCTATGATTAAAAATAAGATGACAAAGAGGTACAATTAAATCTGTTATGGATGCAACGACTGTAACGGAAATCCCCTATTAGTCTGCGTTTTTCTTTACATCAAGGGTTTTGAAATATTATACAATATCTTGTGGTAATACTTTTTCGAATCTAAATTCTTTTAAATAGTTAGTTTTTGGTTTAGTCAGTTTTATAAGAGTCATTGAATACTTTTCCAACAGTCGCCGACTGTTGGAAAAGTATTCAATGACTTTGTTGTCAAGAAGATCAGTGAAATATTTCTCACACACCGCTGCGACTTCTTGTTTTGATCTAGTCAATTAATTATTAATTTTCAATTGATAGTTTGTTTTACGAGATATGTCTTTACTGGTTTTGCTGTTAATTATTCTCCACATCATTTTAATTTTATTTTAAGCAGTTTGCAGTTTTAATTTTGTTGATAATATGTCAGCCAAATCTTTGGCTATGGAGCGCATTCTTTTAAACTTTTTAGAATAAGTTTTGACACATATTCTCTAAAAGTAGCGGAAAGATTATATGATCTCTCATGGTAAAGTTCATATAATCTTTGTCTGCTCTTATGAATTCCTACTATCGCTCACTCATTAAATGTCTTGCTGCATTTCTATTTATATATCAAGGACGTGACATTGTTGATTTGTGATTTACAGATTAAAAAACGCAGACGTCAGATCAAGGAGAAGATCTTCCAAAACGAACTGCTAGCCATGATTAAAGCAGCAAATGAGTTTTCTGCAGAGAAATACGTGGCTAGTAAGATCGAGAAGGCCAACTACACTCCTCTGCCAACCCGCTGGAGACACAAGCGTTTGCCTGAGTTCATCATCCGGCAACTGCTTGGACTGGATAAGAAAATTAACTATAAACATACAGATGTGTACAAAGCGTAAATTTTCCTTTAAATTATTGCATTTGGCCACTGGTACAGTAAAAGCAATTTGACATATTATTTTATGTTGCTTATGTAAATTTTTATTAATTACTTTGTTGTCCGAGTAGATAAATATAGTATGATGTGATTGATTTTTGAAGTTTTTGTTTTGAGTTAGTAAGATTCCAAATTTTAATAACAAAGTTGTTTTTTAAATTTATTTATTCATACAAAGTTAGGTACTATTATTGAATTTTTCTCACCAAACTACAAGCTGTTTGTTGGTGAGTACACCCAATTGATTGGATTAACTACAGTAATGGTAAAAACTAGTTGGTAGAATTCCTCTTTTGCTTAGAGAGGGTGTAGAGAGCTATGTCATTTCATCTTACGCCTCAGAGATGACAATGCATTTGTAAATGTTCTTTATTTGAAGTATACCTATGGTTAGCCAGTGACCATGGACTGCAAAAGTTGCTTATCAACAGATGGGCTGAGTAGATACATTGCTACTCAGCTTCCAAGATGAACCTTTTTGACTTCTATAAAAAACTTACCATCTAGTGTAAATACTGATCACAAAGGTCATAGATGCGTACAAGGTATTATTTGAAATAGAGAATAATTTGTGAATTTCGCAACTTAAAATATGTACACCTTGGTGATGAGACTCAAATCCAAAGACCTGGAAAAGTGAGAGACTATAAATAATTTATTTCGAAAAAAAAAAAAGACAAGTAGCTGAGTTAGCCCTGATCAGTGATGGCTAGTAGCCAGTAGTTATACAAATGACCTATGCAAATTATTTTTGACAGAAGTAGTATGTTGCCCATTTCGTGTCCATTTAGGGATTAAGCTACTCAAGGATGTGCTGATTCTGTTCCTTAAGAAAAGAAACACCTCTGCACATCCTAAATGATTGTGAACACTACGTAACACTCATCTGGAAAACTACTTTATGTTATGTTAGGCTGGTTTTAGACTCACGCTGACCGCACGCTGATCGTCGGCGCTGACAGATCAATATGTATGTAATTAAAGGAAACGTTCCTAAGTCACGCTGATGCCTCAGCGATGACATGCGTCGGCGCCGAGCCGCGCGCGACCGTACGCATCTACCGTCGGCGCCACTGAGCGCTGAGCGCTGACGCGCCTGCACAAAGTAGTGAGCGTTGCATTGTCACGCCGAACGCACGCACCGACGAGTACTGTCATGTCGCAAAATCGAGATATAGACACTGGCCGTGTAATCGATGAAGTAAGATTGAAAAGATGTTTATGGGATGCTTCGGACCATTTTTATAAAAACAAAGATGCGCGAATAAAGGCTTGGGGTGATATTGTGAAAATGAAAAATGAAAAAAAAATTAAAAATGATTTATTGATTTACAATGATACATTTTAAACCAGTCGCAAGGGCCCCTGTACTAGGTTGGGAACCTGTATTACTGGGTACCCCGCTCATCCACCAAGACAATACTATGTTAATCAATAAATAACAAAAAGCAAGGCAAGATCTAGCATTAGAATGTAAATGAAATTTGGAATATAATAATAATTACATGATAAGCATGCTTGCAAAGCATGCACGCGTTTGTGTGTGTGTGTGTGTGTGTGTGTGTGTGTGTGTGTATGCGCGCATGTGTGTGTGTGTGTGTGTGTGTGTGTGTGTGTGTGTGTGTGTGTTTTTGTGGTTGTGTGGTAGTGCTTTAACAATTGGTGTGGCTGTTCGAAGTATAAAAGTTATGTAATAAATTGTTCAGTTTCTTCGTAGTTTAGTGTTAATAAAAATTGAGTCACTACATGTTTAACTTTAGTCCACGTCAAGGAGTAAATATTCAATCTGCTGTTGAATTTGTTGTAAATAGATATAGATTGGAATACGTATTGCTTTTGTTTAAACTTTGTTTTATTTTGTGGTATATTGCAAATTTTGGCACTCCTACGTTTTGGTGTCTGATGAGGTATGAAAGGTAAATGTCGATGCTTTTTTTAAAATACAATTCAATATATACATCTGGCGAGTAGTAAGCAATTTGTAAGATTTATGTAGTTCAGAAGTTGAAAATCGAAACGGTTTCAAGAACATCACTTTAATTAGAGCTCTTTGAGCTCTTTCTAGTCTTATTAGATGTGTTTTTGCTGCACCACCCCAAACAGGTATGCAATAACTCATTACCGATTGCGCTAGAGCTTTGTAGGTGGTTATAAGAGTTGTTTCATTTGCAACACACCTTAGTTTTTTAAATACCCATGTTAGTTTCCTTATCCTGTCAGCAATGTTTTCAATGTGTTGACTCCAGGTAAGGTGCTGATCAATAGTTACACCGAGATATTTGATGGTACTAGTCCTAGTGATTTTATCACATGAGCAATTATTATAGCTATCTAAATATGGCTTATGGCAGGTATGAACTGTTAGGTTAAATTTAGAATTTGGTTGTGTATTTTTCCGTATGGTAAAAGGTATGAATTTAGTTTTGTTAATGTTAAGGGTCAGAAGGTTCGATCTTAGCCAGTTAGATATATGGTATATACCGGAGTCAGTAATAATCGTTAGATTTTCCCATGACTTTGCGTTAAAAATGAGAGCAGTGTCATCTGCGTAGGTGTATATTTGACAATTTTGTGCATTTATCCAATATATTGTGATATATATGTATATACATCGGTAGGTATCTAAAATATATATCTGTCTTGCCAGGGCACACTGCCTGTTGGCGTCAGAAAGTATTCAGCAAAATGTTCTCGCAACGCGTTCCCTAATCTGTTATTACGAATATTATGTTGCACATCAACCATGCCTTCAAGTGTAAGCATATCTTCAACTATGAAACCGTCTCGCACTCTTATAAAATTATGCAAAATGCAACATGCCTTTACAATATTTTTTGCAACTGGAAAACTGACACTCATGGGAGTATAAAATACTCTAAATTTATTTGACATAATGCCAAATGTGGATTCAATGTATCTTCTTGCACGACTTAATCGATAATTAAATATCTTTTTTTTTTACGATTCATGTTACTACGGGCATACGGTTTCATTACGTACTTAGATATGCCAAAGCACCATCGCCAACAATCACATGTTGAACAGGTACATCTGTGCCGGGCAGAGGTTTGGGTCCAGGCATATTTAACGTGTTGTTTTCTAAGCTTCGGAACAGTGCACTGTCTTTAAAAATAGAGGAGTCCGAATCTTTTCCATAAGCTCCAATGTTTACGTAAGTGTAGCAATAATTTGCATCACACATTGCTAGGAGAACTATGGAGAAAAAGTGCTTATAATTGTAAAACATGGATCCCCCTCCTACAGGATTAATAATTCTTATATGTTTACCATCAATCGCCCCAATACAATTGGGAAAGTTAGCATTTTGAAGAAATCCTGCATTAGTTTCTTGCCACACTTCAGTGCTCCTTGTTGGCAAACATTCATCGCGTAGTACTTCCCAAATGGCTGAACATACCTCATTCACGATTAGACTGATGGTGGATTTTTGTTATTGTTTTAGACAAACTTACCCAGCAGCGGTGGAAAACGGCGAGAGATGCCTATTTCCGAACGAAGACACGTATGAAAAATACGCCTTCTGGAAGTGGCGCTAAAATCTCGAAATATATGTTTTTCGAAGAATTAAGGTTTTTGGATCGAGTAAATGACGAAAACGTAGTTGAAGAGTCGTTGCAGGAACTGGATAATGTTGCTTCTGTTACGCAGGAATACGGAGAGCAAATTAATGCTATTGAAGAAACCGCTCTTGTCACGCAGCATGTCAATGATAATACTACAGTAACGCAAAGGCCATGGTCACAAAAGCGAAAAAATACACAGCGCCAATCTCCCCAACAAACTTCACAATTTGAAAAAGAATTGTTAGTTTTGTTAAGCAAACAGACCCCTGACCTCAGTAGTGATGACCTGGCTTTCTTTTCTTCGTTGGGCCCAATTTTGAATAGTTTTGATCTTTATCAAAAGTTGGAGTTTCGTACAAGAGTCTTAAAAGTAGCTAAGGATATTCAAAATATGTGCCAAACACCTAGCAGTATATTAACGTCAATAGAAAATGTCACTTATCCTGATGAATATAGGCCCCATACGAGTACATTGCAGACACCAAACGACTACCAGACCGAAACGGCAGGGTATCAAACACAAATGGCAGGGTATCAGACACAAACAGGATATCAGACAACTAATAATTCTGTGTGTGATGATAATGAACATCAATAAATAAATATGATTATTTTTAAAATTTTTGTTAATTTAATAATGTATACAATTATGATAATTAATAAATAATAATATGATTACATACTTTCATTATTTTGCTAATTTACGAGTATTTACCAAACTTACACACCTTTTACAAGTAAATATTCCAGTCTCAAAATATAAACACAGCGAGGTACTTAAATAAATACAAAAATATTTTATTCATTTTCGTCGTAATAGAGATGAAAAGTAGAATTAATATTTCTTAATTTCTAATCTTATCTAACTTGTTTGAATGGCATGGGGGCGGGGGGGCGCGGGGGCAGGTCTTAGCTGGCTTTGTTTTGGCTTTTGTTTGTTCTCTTCAAATAATTCGACGAGAGGTTTTTTTAAACCTCTTGCTGTGGGGGCGGAGGGGGAAAAAACGTGCTTCGGGGGGTGTGGGGAGTGACCGGGGGAGGCGCGCGGCGCCCTGGCTGACAGCCGGGGCGGGGAAGCACCGGACCGACAGAGGGGTGATGTGGGAAAGAAAAAAAAAAAAAAAAAAAAGCACGGGATACCGGGAGTAGCGGCTGGGGCTCCTCGGCTCCAAGGGGGGGGGGTTGTTTGTTTGCCCGCGGGGCGGGTTGGTTCTTTTTTCCCCGTGTGCTCGTTGCTCCTTCTCCCTTCTCATTGTAGGAAGAAATATAACCACTTATGTCCAGCCCTCCCATTAGGCAAGCCCATGCGGGAAGGGAACGGAAGTGAGTGGAGGTTTTACCGGCTAACTTAACTAACAAAATAAAATTCGAGGGTGTTCGTTGGCGCAATCATTCCTCCCGGCTTGAAGGTTTCCATTCAAAACTAACTAAAGCTACTACTAAAACTTAATTTAACTACTAACCTAACCTAGAAAGACAATTCAAAAACTATTGGTTAGGTAAAGGACAGAGACGTGCGACAGAACGCATATATGACCCTGTCGCGATCTTCGAGCTATCCTCGTTACATACTAGTCCACATACATAGAATCCAGGAAAAACCTCCAACGATTCCTAATGGTCAATGAAGAGGCGGCGCGTTCTCTTTTGTGAGAATAATTACAGTTTCGACCGTTAATGGGTTAACTGCTGTGTACTATTTCTGCCGCGACTGCAATGTATGCAGATATTCCGTCCTCTAACGCTTCTAAAATGACTGCACAAGCTTGTCCAATAAGTTATGACGTGAAAGAACATGGAGTTTATCATCATCTATATGTATAGCGGGTAGGTACTTCAAAGGCGTATGATTCAAAAAATGTGCTGGAGTAAAGCTAGTGGCTCCGAGGGGTCACTGGAAAGCATACGATATAAAGTGCGGCTATTCATAACGCACTCGATCTGTGTGAGTATAGTGCTTAATTCCTCAAAAGATAAAATTTGATCTCCGATCACGCGATATAAATGACTTTTTAGACTTTTAATATTAGTCTCCTAATTCCCCCCAAAGTGGTTTGGGGGGAATTGGAACTCGATGCGGTTTTCAGCTAAAGTTCGAATTATAATATTTAGAAGTTAAAACCCGTGTAACTGTCATAAAATACGTTTTGCTCCTACATAGTTTGTACCGTTATCTGAGTACACTCTACCTACAGGGTACCGGCGAGAAAAATGCATACATGAAGCTAGCCGTGGTCAGATCGCCGACGAGCTCTAAGTGTACCGCGCGAGTAGTCAAACATACGAAAATACAAACATAAACGTAACCTTAAACGGACCAGCAAAATCTGAACCAGTTTGCATAAAGTGCTTTGCGGACTGTGTTACAGGATAGGACTTCTGGTCCGCCATTTCCGGGATTGACGGTCTAGGACGAACTCGAAAACAAGTGATACATCTATGCACCCGATTGTGAATTAAGTTGCGAGCAGAAATAATCCAATAGTTCTGACGCAAAATAGACATCAACAATTCAGAGCCAGCGTGACAATTCAATTTGTCATAATATATAAAAAATATCTACGCAATACAAAGCTACATACAAACAATGGTACTACAAAACACGAACAAGTCTTGCACAATCACTTCCAAAACTGCAAAGGCTTTATACCGTAACGGCAAAGAATAGTTTAAATTTCACCATCATTAAACCACCTACACATTTTTATATGAAACATTGATAAGTAAAATATTAATTTGTAATTCTGCTGGAGATAAAGACAATATTCAAATCATACACAGTTAGATAAACACAAGTATGCAATATCTAGAGGGAATCGGAAGTATTAATAATCTTAAGCGGTGGAGTTATGCGGCGAAGGATTTGGAATAACAGTGCTTGTGGCCTGTTCTTTCGATAAAGCGGATAGGTCTGCTTGCAGCTTGATCTCACTCTCGTAAAGGTCAACAGGTCCAACCCGTCGCTCTCAAGGCGGTATACCTGCTTCAGCAGCTCGGCGTCGGCCGTGACCTCGCTCCGCGCCGCGCCCGCTTACGCTGACGACATCGGCTCGAGTCCCGTGTCGCTGTCCACAAACACTGAATTTGTCACTTGACGGATCGCTGGGTGATCTAACTTTGTAAATTTGGGCCTTTTTCACAGTATCAATAGACCTGGCTCCAGGGCGTTTCGGCGTTCCCTCCGGCTGCGGTGAAACTACAACAGGTTCGGTTTAATGATCTTTATTTACTCATTAAGACTATTGTCACATGAGTACATTCATACAATTTAAAATAAATCAGAAGAACAAGAACAGAAGAATATAATAAAATAGTAGACATAAATTAAGGTAGATCAAAATTAAATAGAAGTCGCAAGTTAACTGCGTAAGAGCGATGTTTCAAGTATTGATAATATAAGACAGTGGTCCAAGTTATATTATGTCCTGTTTTTTAATGTGGTCTAATAATTTTTTCTGGAAAATATTGAGTGAACTTGCATCTTTTATAGCTGAAGGGGCATTTTTTCCATAATTAGTGCGAATATTTGGTAATACAAGATGGTTTGCGCGGCGTGATGAGTATTTTAGCTTTTCTCCTTTTGTGGTGAATGTTATATTTGAATGGATCATATTATGTGCATTGACTTATATATTACTAGCGTAAGGACCGGGCCGACCGAACAAATAAAACGGACCAGTGCGCTGGCCCTAAAATTACAGTTTAGGGCCAACGCGAATCGGTCGATAGTAGTGCGCGCGCAGGACAGATTTGCCTGTCATAAATACCAGGCGGTCCCATAATGAACTGGTCTGATATAGTTCAACGCGACATGTCGCTACATGTTGTGTTGCATTAAATAGTACGTTTATCGTGCACTTAATATAAAAAACATGCATGGACATGAAATGCTTAGTCTTAGTTTAACAGGCATTTGAATAACGAGAGTCGCGTATTTTTTCAAAATGTCGAAAACTGAGTATCGAAGTGTCATAAAGTTTCTGTTTAAAGAAGGTTTATCCCCTGCCCAAATAAAAGAACGATTGGATGGCGTGTATAAGGAGTCTACCCCCTCCTATAGCACAGTGAAAAATTGGGTGAAAGAGTTTCGCCTCGGGAGAGAAACCGTCGAAGACTGGCCACGACGGTCGACCTGTGGAAGTGCTCACTCCCGAAACGATTGCTCTTATCGAAGAGGAGGTTCTGAGTGACCGCCGTTTGAAGATTAGAGAAATTGCAGCAAGGCTTGGGCTCTCTAAGAGTACCGTTCATCGCGCGATCCATGAACATCTTCACATGAAAAAAGTGAGTGCAAGATGGGTACCGAAACTTCTTTCAGCGGTACAGAGTCAGGAAAGAGTGCGCTGCGCTTCGGAGTTTTTGGATCTTTGTGGCGAAAATCCAAAGACAAAGACAAAGTGATCGAGCGGCTAGTGAATGGTGATGAAACTATGATCTTGTATTATGATCCACAAAGCAAGCGCGAGTCAATGAAATGGCGTTATAAGGGTGAAAAGCCCCCTAGAAAGGCAAAGGTGCAACAATCGACTAAAAAACTGATGTGCACAATATTTTGGGATTTTCAAGGCATTTTGATGGTGGATTTTAAAGAACGTGATACAGTCGTGAACGGCGAATATTATGCTTCTTTAATATATAAATTGCGAGACAAGATAAAGGAAAAACGAAGAGGCAAGCTGTCTAAAGGTGTCCTGTTGCTCCATGACAACGCCCCTGTTCATACCGCTGGTGTTTCGAAGGATGCAGTTCGTCAATGTGGGTTCACAGAAGTTCAACATCCACCTTACAGTCCAGACATGGCCCCGTACGACTATTATTTATTTCCAAATTTAAAGCGGGACTTAAGAGGAAGAAAATTTTCAAGCGATGAAGAGTTGCAGGCGGCCGTCTTCAGTCATTTTGAGGATAAAAAATGTGATTATTTTTATGAAGGTTTAGAGATGTTGATTCACAGATGTCAGAAGTGTGTTAGTATTCATGGTGATTATATTGAAAAACAAAATTGGTTTCGTTTCATTTCCTTCATTGGTTCATAGTTAGGCCAATTCATTATGGGACCGCCTACGTATGTCTAGTTGCGCTGTAAAAGAATGCAAAAATTACGATAGATTTAAAAAAAAAACATGCGATATCGTATCATCGGTAAACAATCTTATATAAATTTTGTTACAATTAAATTATTATACAAACGCATTTTTAAAGTTTTATTTTACAGTTAGTTTAGTTACGTTACCAAGATTAGGCCAGGGTTGGATTCAGACCCTCAAAAATATTGTACATGGAAAATAAAAATATATTATTTTTAAAAAACTATATCACGTTTGAAGTTTCGTGTTTCTTTTTTCCCATGGGCCGGGATTTTGGCGTAACCCGTCTAGTTTATTTATACGTTTCGTTTTTTGACGGTTTTATTTTTATTTCTGTTTATTTTTTGTCTAAGAACTTAGTGTAAGTTAAATTTTGAATATTGGTACCTAAATTTTTTTATATTCAATAAGGGTAAAACGAAAAGAGTACAAAAGAAACTTTATCTGCTTAATTGAATCTGGAAATCTGATTCATAAAATATTTTGAAATGCTGTTTTTAAACCGATTGCT